TGTAGGAAGTCCAAAAATTTCATTTTAATTCACAGAATCACAAAATTTTAAGGGGTTGGAATGGACCTTTATGACCATCCAGTCCTAAAGCCCCTGCCATGGGCAGGGACATCTCCCACCTGGTTCTCGAGCCCCCTCACACCTGGCCTTGAACATTTCCAGCGTTCCAGCTAGTACAAATGATTGTACGATTTTAAAACTGAAAAATGGAGCTTTACCTCCAAATTATGCTTAGGATTTAATTAAAATTAAGTCCTATCAGAAAAATAAAACCCACAGAACACAACCCTCCCACCAAAAACCCCCAAACAAAAACAAACAAACCCCCCAGAAAACACACACCCCCACCAAAAAAAAAAATGGTTCTCGAGCCCCCTCACACCTGGCCTTGAACATTTCCAGCGTTCCAGCTAGTACAAATGATTGTACGATTTTAAAACTGAAAAATGGAGCTTTACCTCCAAATTATGCTTAGGATTTAATTAAAATTAAGTCCTATCAGAAAAAAAAAAAAAAAAAAAAAAGAAAGTAGCAAAAAAAAAGTTCAAATGCTTTACTGAAGTAAACTGGTGTTTACTTCACGTCTCAAAGCACTTCACGTCTCAAAGAATGTGGTCTGAGAACTAAAGACATTTGCAAAGCAATTGCTTTTAAAATTGTCCATGGGATTTCATAGACAATGAGGTGCCTATGAGGAGTAAAACTGCTGAACAAGTCTAATAATGCAACAGAAATGCCCAATGCTCTGTTACCAGAGCCAAATATGGCAGAATCTATTTTATTTGCAGAAGTGCAAATTTCCAAGCAGCTGAAACTCAGTGAGCAGACAGAAGAAGGCACAGCTGAGACAACACAAAATACATCATCCAGGACTGTTTAGGATTTTTTGACTCAGTGATGCTAGCAGGAAATGGAGAACAAAGCAAGGTCATCATACACATAATTCTCCCATTTGTGGGAGATTACTGTGTTCCATCAGTCAAATAAGAATTATTGCTGGCTGAGGTGGAGACTCATAGTTGGTAATGCATTAGATGAGTCTTGGCAAGCAAAACTGTTGGGCTTTCAAGTGGGAAAAGTCTTTAATTTCTAAAAAAACTCCTCTGTTCTACTTCCTTTTGTTTTCCTTTTGGCTAAAAAGGATAGGAATGTCAATACCTCACAGAACATGGTTTGTATCAGATGTTCTGTATATATTCAATTTTTCTGTAAAAAAACCCCACAAACTTCATTTACAAAAAAGCATGAAACCATCCTACTGAAGAGATACAAAAGCATCCAATGCTCTTGGTCATGTAATTATCAGTTGTCTACCTGCTGTCACAGAGCTCTCTTGTGAGGAATGCTGGGAGAAGTGTATGCAAGGGTCAATATCTCTGTAAACAGCCTGGTAATGGTGCAAAACCACACAAAACATCTTGGTCTTCAGGCACTTCTTCAAATATTTTTAATCCTTGTATTCTAAACTAAATTTCCCCCCTTACTCTGACACATGGCATCACAAGACTACCAGCAAAGAGGCAAGTTCCAGAGACTCCGTAACGTGGTTACTCAAAAAGCAGTAATTCTAAATTGGCAAGTTTTATTCAACCTATACTATTTACTATCCTCGATTTGAACGCCTAAATTTACTGTTCCAAATGTTGTCAAATCACTAATATCCTCTTGCAAGTCATCTTAATTTCCAACATAGTAATTTTCCCTGTAATGACTCTTCATTTAAGAGTACATGTTTACAATTTTCTACCATTTAGGTGATTTAAGTATATCATCTACTGAACGTCCTGGTCTTGGCAGCAATGAATAATTTTCTTGACAGATGGAATATGAAAAAATACTAAATAAAACATTTTCCCAAAACATAAATAGCTGGCAGTTATCCCTCAGAAATAAAAGTCCTTCTTAACTTAAAAGCAACCAGCATGACATGTTCTCTGTAAAGACAAGGTCAAGAATTTAGTTATGCCCTTAACTAATGCCCTAAGCAGTGAAGACGGCAGGCTATGAGGACAACATACCAGCCATTTAGATGCTTCCATTCACTATTAGCCATTTCTCTTTTTTCCCTTCCTTCTCTCCCCTCTTTCCGTGACAGCATAATCCAGGTGCTCACAAAACTGCCCCTTAGTCCTTCCTGAAATTTACCTTCCCAACATCTAATCTAATCAGATGTGACATGCACACCATGTATGGGCTCTGCTCACAAAAACAAAGAGAGCAATGTTAAGGGATCACTGCTTGCTGTATGAAATAGAAATTCAATTGTAAGGAGACAAAAGAAAGGGATGGTTAAATTTGTACTGATAAAATCACTTGCTATTCAATGAATTTAGATACAGCAATCAAGGTAAATGCAACCAAATTCACAGCAATATTTATATATGTGTGTATGTTAGGATGTTTATAAATAGACGTATGGGGAGATGAAAAATTTCAGACTGATACTTAAAGGAATCTCAGTTTAGAAAAATGAATCCCACAGTAAGAATATGTGACTGCAAGTATAAGCTAAAGTAAATTAATGCAGCAACAACAGTAGTGATTCTCAGAATAAATAGTGTACAGGTGGTTTTAAATATGTGAGAAATATAACTAAGCAGGCATTTTTAAGACGTGGAAATTACTAATAAGCAAGAATTAAATATATCAGTACTGTAGACATTTGAAATAACAGTAAGTCTGGGTTGAATTTAGATAAAATAGATAAAGCTATTTCAAGCTATAAAACTAAAACCTTAATGTTAGAATGAGATCATTGATTGCCACTTGGTCCAGGGAAGGCAAAAGCAGAATATGTCCAGTCACATAACCCTGTTATGCCTGTATTTCCACTGGTGCATCTTCCCCACCCAGCCCAGGGTTTGAAGGATGTTTTAGCCACAAAGCCTTTCCGAGCCCTGCTGGGCTGAGTCTGAGGAGGAAGAATCAATTCTACATTTCACAAGACTTGTCTGGGGTTCATTAAGAATTAGGACCTGCAAGAAGGGGTTTTTTACATGTCACCTATTAGGTACCTGTTATGTTCCACAGTCCCTGCCCAGAACACACGAGAGCCAGCAGTGCCACTCACCTCTGTGTGCCCAAGGACACAGCTGCCCCAGGAGTGAAGGCAACTGCAGTCCCCAGCCTCAGGTGACACTCACCCTGCCCTCAGCTACAATTCACTGCAGCACAGCAGCAGAACAAGGGCACAATTCACAGCCAGCACTCATCCTGTGCCAGCTCACAGGGCAAAGAGAACTCTGCAAATGCACTGAGTCTTAAAAGAGGTCTAAGAACTGATAATATCAAATGTGAGATTGCTAGGTATACCAGAATACTAGAAAATTATTTCCTAAAGTGAAGTTGTTTTACCTAGAAAAAAAAGCTGTCTAAATACCTTTAACTCTGGGCTGTGCACCAGTCCTACAATAGGAAAAAGATTTAGAGTTATTCTAGAACCATTTTGGATAACATATTGTGATTGCAAGTATTGATGAAAATAACTCTGGGAAACAAAGGTTCAAAGCATTAATAATGATTCCTCTAATTACATTAAACAGCTTTAAGTAAAAAATAGATACCATTTCACTGTACTGCATCTCATAAGAGACATTAAAACTGATTTGCTATTTATGCTGAATGAAAAGGAGGAAAGGTTTCACCTAAAAAAATCAAGCAGTATCACTGCTGGTTCAGCTCAAAGGAAAGAAAGAAACAAAAACCCTCAAAATGTTAAACAAAGCATATTTCATGAAAGGTTTTAAGTTTTTGAAAAACAAATGAACATCAAAAGAAGCTTCCAGAAAACCAAACTTTCTTTCACTTGATTCTTCTATGGACAATTTTTTTGTGAGCTCTACTTACTGTTTACCAACCTTTTAAAAAACCAGAAATTATTACAGATGCTTAAACACCCAGAATACAAAATGCCACAAATAGCAAAAAAAGTTAGCATTATTGAAGACATTAAATCTGATAATTATTTCTAATTTATTCTAGAAGAAAATAATAAAGATTATGATTTTAGAACCTTAAATTGAAAACTACACCAAAACCATTGTTTTGCTCTCACTCCATTAATATCAATATGTGTTACGCAGCTGGTTTATATTTCACTTTAAACTACAGCTGTATTTCAAGGAACCAAGCATCTGTTGGTTCACTGAGCAATCACAAAAAGTCCAGACTTGCTCACAGCCATAGTGCCAGAGCCCACGGAAAACCCAACAAACTTTGGTAAATGCAATCCCCATCTCTGCAGCATTTTCTGTTGTTTACCCAGACAATGCTTTCCTGATGTTTTGTTGCCTACCCACACGGCATTGGCAGTCACCTTTTGCAGCTATATTGTTAAATCAATTTCTCAGCAATAATTTATCCTGCTGACATCACTCAAGAGACAATTTCCCAAGTTTTCAGAACTTCTCAAGAGTGAAGCCCTTTTGTTGTTTTCTCCAGTCACCCCTCTCCATACAATCATACAGAACAAGAACAGGCTGTAAAACATTTCAAGTCATACCTCATCTTAGTGAAAATCAGAAAGCTGATTCATCTGGGCAGCATACAAACCAATCTAATATTCAATCAAAAATATTTTTAAAACATATCACTTAAACTATCATTTCAGCTGTCATATACATTTCCTGTTTTTTCCTTTAATCCTCATTTTGTATTTTATATTTCAATTCCTTTGGAGAAACAGTTCTAAACTAGGCTTTTAATCCAGAATGAGTATTTCAAATAATATTTACAGTCTTATCTGTTCTTAATACAGGTCTCTGAACTGTACTAAAAATGGCAGTTTATCTCAAACATTTGTATAAAAATAAAATCCTTAGATATAGAACACAAACTTAGAATACTTTTTTTTTTCCTGGAATATAATCAGTTATTTTACAGTAATAAAAAGAAAATCGTTAACAAACAAACAAAAAAGAGCAATGAATGGCTTTTATTTTTAGCTTTTTAATAATGGTTTTAAATTGAGAGGCAGAAGAGTTAGAAATGTTCCTACTGACCTGAGTCCATAAAGGACTGTTCCATCTGGATGCAGACGAATCATTCTGTTCTTCACAGTAACACCATGAACAAATGACTTCTTGTCATTCAAGAAATAGGTATCAGGCACCCAGAGCTGATCAGCTACTCTGTTGTCCAGGGTAAGGTTTAGAGGTATTACATTGTAGGACAGCCTCTTATCCCTCCATGCTTGCTGGAAGTACATTGTCAAGGTATAGTCCTGTGATCGGAAAAAACAAACAAACAAACAAAAAGTTTGCATTGAAAGATAAATATGCAAAAAAATGACAATGCAAATGCACATGTGTTCATTGTGACTGTTCCTAAAGGCAAACATTTCTGTTCAGAATTTCCATAAGTAGATTTAGTTATTTTTTCAGTGAACATCTTGTATGCACTTAATAACAGCAGTGAGAACACAAAGATGATGGGGCATTTAAATTTTATGAATGACTTGGAAGTTCTCACTTCAATATTTAAAAATAAAATTTTAAAAATTGTAGACATTTAACAGCCTGTAGCACTTTACAAGCCTGGGAGTTCTAGGAAATAGGAGCATTCACAGATCCAAATTTAATTTCAAGGTCTCCACTGTATTCATAGAGCTCTGGATCAAGCCTTCTGTTCCTGAAGTTGCAGTCACCACCCAAAGACTTCCCTAAATTAAAATTCCTTCTAAGTCTGTTAACTTTCCCCCGGGCACTGAAACCAATGGGAATTTTTTAAGGTTCCTAAGCTACACACTTAGTCTTAATTTTACAGATGAAGTAACTCTGGTTACTTCAGGAGGACAATTCAGAGAGCACAATTAGCATCTCAGTGATTATTCACAGTATTATGAGACTTGCATTGTCTTGATGCAGACCACCACTGTACAGTGCTTCAGAGATGTTTTGACTTCTTGATTTTTTAAAGAATAATGCATTTGCAAAGGTTATACCTTTGTCAAAATTGTTATCCAGATGCAGAATAATCATTATATTTAGCCAATGCTAAAAAAACCTCTACAAATAGTACAAAAAATATATTGAGAGCAACCCTGTGGAGAAAGACTTGCAGAAATGGCAATATTAGTTCTTATTCCCTGTTTTATGTTGTAAAGGAGAGTCCACTATTTAAAGCAATTTTTATTACACTTGGAAAAGAAAAAATTAACTTCCTGCTGAACTACTTTAAAAGTATATGCCACAAGTGTATTTTATAAGCATTCTCATTTAAAAGGATATTTGACATATGAACATTATATAGAACGTCTCGGAAAATACAAAAATAAATTTTTCTTATTCTGCAGTTTCACAGACTGAACATCCCAGCAGGAAATCACTGAAATTGGGTTGCTGTAATTATTTTCTTTACAATGTATAACACCCACCCTTGAACTAGGGAGGGCCTGCGAGAACTATGGCTATTTCAGCAGAATTCTCTAAGCAATGACACAGAACCTTGAAACTAAGTGACCCTGCCTCTTCTGCAGAACAGTGTGCACTCAGAGAAATCAGTATAAACTATTTTTTTATAGAAATGTGCATTTCAGTGGTGGAAAGACTCTTATTTTTTGCCTCATCTCTCCCCAGAAGAGCCCATGTTCATGGGCTTGAAAATGCCTCTTCAATTTTCAGCGAAGCAGGGGGAAATACATGTGCTGTTGTGAATAGTTAGTGCATTTCTTCCTTACCAACACAAACCACAGATGGTACTGCTGTCCCTCCAGTGCTCCTGTCTGCACTGGTTACAGGTCAATCCCCTTCCCTTGCTGCACCCCTGGCATGCCTGGAACCCCAGCACCTTTGGCCAGGTGCCACAACAGCCACTCTGCAGGGACTCAAGTAGGCAAATACCAAATAAGCCTTCCCAGTTGTTTAACTACCAAATATATTCACCTGGTGCTGTTCTACAATCTGGTCAGTTTTAACAATCTGAAGCCTCTTCCCACCTCCCCAGGATCAGGATAAGATTCTGCTTGCAAGAGCATTCCACCTACCTCTGAAGGATTTTACTGTTATGCTTCATCACTGTTCTGCAGGATTTGATTCATAACCAGCTATCAGAAAATCTCCAGTAGGAAAATTTATTAGTCTTTATGATACTAATATATCACATCATCAAGTAATGATCTGTAGCAATTGTTTCTCTATTATCCTTGGAAAGCTGCATTTCATTCCTATTCCAAAGAATAGCCTACATGTATTAATATGCTGCATAAATACATAGAACATGCTTTCCTTTTTACACCTCAGTAAAAGAGGAAAAGAAGAGGAGGAAAAACCCTAAACATACATGGTTCATTGCATAGAAGTGAATTACATAAAACTGTAAATTTGGAGCACTGGCATTGCTGAAGGAAAAGCCAAGTCACCAGGCTGGAGTTTAAAATCAAACACACTGTGTTCCAGAAAGAGCTGGTGTTCTGACTAAAAATTATTTGTCATCTGTTGGCCCTGGTTTTCAGATGTGACTGAAGTTTCTGATGGTCAAAACAGAAATCCTTTGAAATTGTTATAATACTCTCACAAGCTTTTGAATTTAGGTGTTTTTTTAATGATAATTTTTAAAAACCCCAATGATGTTCCAAGCTACATATTTCAAAGTGAAATTGATAAGACAGGAAAAAAGCAAAACCTGTCACGTAAACTGTGATCTATTCCTTAGAAAGGAAAGAGGCATCTGTTTTCAAAATCCCAAATGAAAGAGTAATTCAAAAAAGCTGTGCTGGTACAAAATGTCCCTAAAGCATCCCAAGACCCTTTACATGATGACATTAAGAACACTCTCATCTAATAGGAATACTACAAGAAAAAAAGACTGCTAAACTCACTTTAGGTATGGGTATATTCCCCTCTATTCTAGGGATAAATATCAAATCAAATATGTAAATATCTTGTCTCTAGGAAGAGAGGCACACAAAAGAAGTAGAGGACTAGAAGTAAAGGATGATTTTATTTTGTTAAGGTTTAGCATCCTTTTAAATTCACAGGATGGGACTATTAGAAGCAGTGTAAGTTTGAAGAGAAAACAGGAGCAAATTCATTTTCACAGCCTTGCACAATTCACTAATTCCAATGAGCTGAGAGAACTCCAAGCCCAAAGCTCCTGATGACGGCGTCAGTGTAAACCATTGCACAGACACAAACTACAAAGGTACAGACTGTTTGCAGCACAGCCACATGGACATATTTCTATATAGAAGTAGAGGTTCCTCAGTTGCCCTGGGCAAGAAATGCTGCATAAAACTGTATTAGTGTTGACAAAAATATAAAGAAGCAAACATATTTTCTGTAAATAATATCCATTTTGTAGTTTTCATTATTATTACATTGTTTGCCTAGATTTAAATTTAATAATTTTTTTGTTCTGTCTAGAGCAAAAATCCATCAGAAAATGGATCATTACCCCTACTCTGTGATCAAAGAAAAGATGTCACTTTTCCTCACCTCACCTTTCCACTTTCCCTCTTCTTTATTTCATACAATGAACAAAAGAGCAGCAAATACAAGACAAAGTTAATGTTTACGCATAATTTTCCATATGAATGAAAAAGTATCAAACAGTTTCATTAGTATTAGCATATTCATGAGTACCTTTTATTCTGCGCATTTACTCTGTGCAGTGGTTGCCTGCAAACAATTTAACTGCTGGAAGTGTAAATACACTGAGGATTTAAACTTGTATTTAGATAAACAGGAGTATTACAGACAGACATGGTGTCAGTGAATGGCCATCAATTTCAATTATGTAACAGAAGATACTGGACAGGAAAGCATCAAATCTGAATACTAGCATTCTTATTTATATTCTCACATTTCATTCATGCTCTCAAATATTTAAGCGAAAAACAAACAAAAAAAAAAAGCCAAAAATCAGTTTGGGTCTATTATTAGTTTAAAAAGATTAGGATACAGGCCTTAGCTAAACCCACCCATGGACCAATAACTGACATATTGCTGATCCTCTTTTTATATTGGAAAAAGGATCAAGGCAAAAAATGAAATAGAGGTCATGAATATTCACAATGACAGTGGGTGTCTAATGCAAAAGACTCTACCAGATGTAAATTTTTTCAAAGCATAATAAGGTCCAATGTAAGAAAACATATTTAAAATATAGCTCCTTCTTCTGCATTACACAAATCAGGACTGATTCACACTGCAGCTTAAAACTGTAACCAACACTTGTATTAATGGGGATAGAAACCAGCTATTGAAACACTGGAAGCAATAAAGGCAGAAAACTTCAGAGGAGAAAAAAATAAGAAGAAGGAATGTACAATATCTAATGTACAAAGTGTACATTCTGTGTATTGTAAACATGGAGTGAAGACTATAGACAGTGTATAGACAGAGTGAAGTTGAAGCTGTTAATCATTGCTCTGCAATAATAAATGGAGAGCTCATTTGTGGTTTGGCTTAAGTCCACTCCTCATCACATTCCTGGTTATTACTAACTTGTAAAAATTCTTTACTACATTTCCACATATGGCTATTTTAAAACAGAATAATTCCCTTCTGAAAATGCTTGAAGTCAAAGACTTTGCCCGAGCATTACTTTTATTTAACACATACTTTTATAAAACTGTTTGTTGATAACATTTAAAAGTGCTGATTGACAATCCTTTCAAATATTTTTATTTAAAACCAGCCACTACAACATGTTTGATTCAAAATTATCTACCTCATTCTCTCATTGAGAAAAAATAATGTAAAAAGTCTGCTTAATGCTAGAGACACCACAAAATACACAAAGTGACATATAAAAGTAGGAAGAACTGTTGAAGGAATGGGTGATACCAAAGAAAAGCCAAAATAGTCATACGCCCTTTCAAAAAAAAGTATTTTTCACATTCTGTGAATCTTTACTTCAAAATAAACAAAAAACCCCCACAAAGCAAATAAAAAAGCCACAAACAATGACATCAGGAACCTTACACAATTGATTCAAGTTGAATTCAAGTTGAATTCTCTCAGTCTATCAAATCTGACTTCCCAAGCTGGCTTTAAATCTGTGAAACACTTGTAATTAACTGAGTCTCCTAAAACTTACTAGGGGAGTTTTCCTTGATGGGAATTACATCTTCACAAGTTTATGATCTTTCCAAAAAGAAGATCCCAGCACCAAGCTTACCATTTATTTTGCTGTGACTCTCTTGGAATTATTCATCAGCAATTCTCATTTGTCAGCTGAGCAAAGCAGCAAAGATGGGCTGTTATCTCCCACCACAGCTCT